TGTCTGAGCCTGCAGGTTCGAGACCCGCCTGGGCAACTTGACGAGACCTCATCTCTACAAAAAAATCAAAAAATTAGCTGGGTGTGGTAGTGCGTGCCCGTAGTTCCAGCTACTTGGAAGGCTGAGGCGGAAGGATCCCTGGAGCCCAGCAGGTCGAGGCTGCGGTGGCTGGGAGCGTGCCACTGCCCTCCAGCCTGCATGACGGAGTGAGACTCCAACACATACACACACACACACACACACACACAATTATCATGAAGGTAGAGCCCTCATTACCTAAATACCTCCCTTTAGGTCCCATCTCCCAACACTGTTGAATTGGCGATTAAGTTTCCAACAAATGCTTTTGGGGGCACATATTCAAACCATAGCCCAGGGAACACAGACAAAACAGAGAGCACATATTCTGCTCTCAGAATGCTTCCATTCTTTGGGGGAGTGGGACAGGTAATCAGGTAATAAATACTAAGCAAGATAATAGAGTCATCCCTCAGTATCTGTGGGGGATTAGGTCTAGAACTCCCATGGATACCAAAATCCACACACGTTCAAATTTCACAGTCAGTCCTCAGAACACACATATTTGAAAATCAGCCCGCATGTCCAAGGATTTCACATCTGTGAGCACCATATCCCTGTGTGGTTGCAGATACAGAACCTGCAGTTATGGAGAACTGCCTGTGTTTATTGAAAAAAATCCACATATAAGTGACCCTCGAAGTTCAGACTTGTGTTGTGCAAGGGTGAACTTCTGACACTGGATAATGATAAATGCTCTTAGTAAAAGCTCTTTTGTCTTGAGGTGGTAGAGAGTGGCTGTCTAGACTTTTTTCTGTTGGGAATCAGGAAAAGCCTGACTGGAGGCCTCAGTGGAGCCCACCAGGTAAAGATGTGGGTACAGCACACAAAGACCCAAGATGGAGGCCAGTGCAACCTCCATCTGATAGAGTAGAGTGACCAAAGAAGAGTGGTGTGAGATGGTTTCTGAGATAGAGCATACCCGTTACCCCCAGGACAATGACCTCTAAAGCATCTTCCAGCTTCGGCATTCTGAAATCCTAAATCAAGGTTTAAGAGGCACTTTATGCCAAATATGCTGCTATAATTTGACAATCTAGATGTGACTTTTGACTTTGAATGTTCTTATGTTCATAATCATCATGACCAGAAAAAAAAATTTTCTGACTTTATAGCTGTACCTTTTCTTTCTTTCTTTTTTTTTTTTTTTTTTTTT